TTTAAAAACTACCAAAGAATTGCATTCAACCGGTGTTTCAATTGAATCTATTCTGTGTTTGCAATGTAAGAAAATACTAAGTACAATTGACAGACTCGAGAAAATTACTTTTTTTGCTGATAGGTTATCAAAGAAAAGACACTGGCTAAATTGTTACCTTGGGCTTGAAAGAATTTTCAAAATTGGGACTAACGTGTCTTCCATGAAACCCCTGCTTCTTGCCCATCTTATTCTCTCTGCCTTTTGCCGAGAAATGGATAGACACAAGGAAAGTAGACGGAAGTGCACTCACTGCAGTGGTGAGTGGATCTAACTTGTCTTACATGAAGCCCCTGCTTCTTGCCCATCTTATACTCTCTGTCTTTTGCTGAGAAATGGATGGACACCATTGAAAGTAGACGGAAGTGCACTCACTGCAGTAACCCTCCATCTCCACTGACTCTAGCCAAACTTTGAAATATGAAAAACATAGATACCTTGACCAACTTTGGATCATTCTTAATCTTATTCAATAGAGTGCAATATATACCTACCCATGTATTTACAAAACCAGCAAACCCAAGTAAGTCAGTTGGTATTGGGAAGAGTGTTCCACTAACAGAGGTGTGAACCATTTTAGGTGTTCCACTTTACAGGCTTCACTGTATCAATAATACCAGATCCTAAAGAGAACCAAGGGAAGTCAGTTGGACTCTGAAAAGAGTTCTACTAACAGAGGTGTGAACTAATTTTAGGTGTTCCACTTTACAGGTTTCACTGTATCTTTAATACCAGATCCTAAAGAGAACCCAGGTATATATTTCTAGACAACACATCTAAAGTTCAGACAAGTAGACAACATGAATACCAAACATATGCACCCCCTTAGGCAACTACTAAATTCCCTAATTACAAAACATAGGTCACCAGGTACATGACTTAAATTAATTTCCTGACTATTTCGCAGTTATCTAAATATATGCATGGTTCTGAATCCAATTGCACAATATATAATTGTTCATCACCAGCATGGCTTGGCTTTCAAGTGGTATATAACAGAATGGATAATGTTAATCATGGCGAAACTGTCAAATTTAAACCTATAACGAGACATGCTGATTGAATATAAATAGAAAAATGTAAAAACATGTTGTTAATACATTATCAACCCATCATTCATGTGGGATGGCACTTATAGGCCCCATTGGGTGTAATATTATTAACTATCAGTGTGTGATATTACTAAGTATTGTACAAAACAGCACTCATGGTGGTCAAGTCACGCTTTTAGGTTAAAAACACATAATCAAACAAATTACTTTAGATAAGCTAACTGGTAAAATGATATAATAACTAATTGTGAACCATAACATGGTTCAAAGGATGGGATGTCAGGCGTAACCAGGGGGGAAGTGTGCATCTTGTCATGACCAAACTACATGTCATCTCCTACATGTTTTATTAAAAGGGTTAGGACTAAACCTATAGTACTTTGCCAAATTTTATTGATGGCCTTTCTTCTGTTAATTCAGCATTATATAGAGACCACTATCCTAAAACCCACATGCTTCTGTTTAAGATGCTCTCTTTATTAAGGTGATACTGGACAAATGTAAGAAATAAGTGAACCTCAACCCATGAAGCTGAAGACAGAATATTTGGAGAAAGGATCATAAAAACCAATATAAAAATTATGCTGGAAGAAAATCAGAAAAGTTAGGCTTCAATATCTGTTATAACTGTTCATTTCAAACAACATCATTCAAGTTGTCATAGCAACATGCTATCTTGATAAAGATAGTGCTCATGGTTTATCAAAAGTTTCTGATGAAAGACAGTAAAAGGACTTATGGAAAATGAAAAACAGAGTTACTGACCTAGTTACTAAGGTAATAAATGTAACCAAGATCTCTGTAATCTTTCAAATAGCTTTCACATGTATCTGTCTAGCAAGGACTAAGGTGATGATCTTGATCTGCAGATACCCTGATACTCACAGTATTTAATGCTACCCTCTGAAGATGAATACTGAGAAAGATACCCTGTGTGCAGACTGCAGAGTCTAGTTATAAACTATGGTACGTGTTTAATTAAGAAGCAAAGTCGAACAAATGAAAAGGGTATGAAAAAGAAGATATATATGTATTAAAAGAGAGATTCAACTTCTAATAACTGCAGAGCTACCTTAAGCTTGTATTAAGCCCTCGTATCCTCCTCTTTCTTACTAATAAGAGGGAGGGATATATAGTAAGAAGAGGGACAGAAACAGGGTTTGGATATAAGACTACTAGCCCATAGGGGTATGATCCAAGGTTCATATATATCATGTTCCCTTCAATGTATGATCCAAGGTTCATATATATCATGTTCCCTTCAATGTATGATCCAAGGTTCATATATATCATGTTCAATTCAATGGAGAAAAGATTACATATAGTTGCTAAGGTACCAATGGAATACATTATTAGCATTACACAGGTTTGCCATACTATTATGCAACTACAGCTATGATAACATCAAGTACCCCTAACTTGGGATAAGTAACCCTCAACAAATATCCTAATGGTCTTGCTTTATTTGCAGAGTAGAGAGAAATGAGTTGAACTATTGAGAAATTATGTAAACAGTATTGATGAAAGGCGAGATCTGAAATTTGTAGAAATGTAGAAATCAGATAGTTCATTCTAATTTTGAGAGGATAAGTATGAAATGGATATAACCCAGAAAGAGGGTTGAATCTGTTATCTAGGTTATCTTATAGTTTTATCTACAAATTAGTACCTTAACTCATGTACATCCTCTCATAGAATATGAAGAAAATCAGATAATAATATGGAATAGTGGTACAAATGAAAGATGTGAAAATAGTGAAACTACAATGAACATGTTTCTAAAGGATATTTTAAACGACTGATATTGAATATCATTCAGAGAATAATTCATTGAGCGTGCACATGTTGATATTTTTGAGTAGGAGTAAGCGACTCTTGTCATGGTTTTGAAATCTGTTATACTTCATCATAAGTGTTTTAGTTTTAATCAATAATATGTTTACAATGTATTAAAAATCGACTTTTCTGTATCTCAGCTGGTTTCTTTTATTGATTTGAATAAGAAAATCTAAAGTTCTCGCTCCTGCCATGAAGCGTTTCAACTGAACTTTTATGAATATATCTCAACTGTTTTCTGTTATACAGATTTGAATGCAAGAAAATTCAATGATTGAATTTTTTCAATTGTTCAAATAAATGTTCAATCAAATGGATCATGGGAACACTTTTTTTCACAAATGACTAAATTAGTCACATGTGTAAAATGAAACCCCATGTGGCATCACTTGTTTAATTTAATAAAAACAGTTATTCGAGTTCTTCATGATAAAGTCACGTTATAAAGAACCAAAAATGATGATTTTCAAGTGCCCCTCAATGTGCTAATTCCAGGACACAAAGAATGAAAACTCTATAAAATTCACATGTTAAAATCACCAACTTGAGATAGTCCAGGACACTAAATTAGGAGTTGCCATGACAGTTTGATAAATGAATCCCAGAATTCAGTTCAAAAAGTCAATAGGCATATCCTAAACTGAATTCTATAACCTAAATCATTTTGTACTTAGTGAAAAGTGAGTCATCCAAATATTCAGAATGGAGAAAATTCTACCATTCCAGGATCATTTTTATCAATATGCAGTTTCTAGATTAGGCAAATCATCTAAAATTGCCAAATAGGAAATTGGAGTTTTACCTTTTCAGTGAAGTATTCTGTTCATGTTTTATAATCAATAATGAATATATGCAAAGCTTCCGAGCTGTAGGCCCGAGCTGACACTAGTCTTTCAACAGAACTTGAGAGAATATGAATGAATCAGAACTCTAAATCAATGAAGACTCTAATGACAAATACACTTGAACTCTTAGAATACCCAGAGACATTATATTAAGTGTAAATGAGAGTAATTAAAAATGGATACTATTCCATACCCTGGAATGAAATCTTAAACCATTATTTATATTCAGATCTTAAATCAATCCAGAAAAATTGCAGAGAAAATGAACAAAGATATAAAATTAATAACAATCTAAGTTTTACAATTGGAATATATCTATATGAAGATTAATTCAATTATGGGAGAATCTAAATGAAAACTCATGAATGATATGATATAAAATATTTTAGGGTAGTCTGAACTGAATAATTGATGACTATGGCTGAGCCAGATGGAAATAGGATTTCCGTATTGATCCAAACATGGAATCCCATCATAGTCCCACTTTAAAATGCAAAATAAAAGAGTAAAAGCATGAAAAAAATCAAGGATTTAAGTAACCAGACATGTATTAAACATTCTAAATGATATTAAAATGCCAAAAATCAGTAAGTTACTTGATATGCTCAAGAGAAAGCTATAACATTGACAAGACCAGGATGATATATTCTAGTAAACTATATTAGATTCATATTACTAAAGATACCAGACATTTCCATATTAATTGTCTATGCTATCATCCCCTTATGAATGTTATGTATCTTTAAGCAATGTATTGTAATATGCAGGATATTATTGGCAATAGATTTATATGATATAATCGTATTACAACTTCATTACAACACAATTTACAATTTTGGCATAACCTAAATCGTCAAGAGACAAAACAGATTAACACCAAATCAGACTAGACAAAATGTGTTATTTTAATAAAATTCATGGGCAAAGAGTAAGACATTGTCACTGTTTACTATTACGATATATCAAAGATTTAGATCTACATGTAATTTCAATCAAAAGAATATGCGTTGAGATCGCCTGTTGGTTCTACACATCCAATGAACCTAAAATGATATATTCAATCCTTAAACAGAGAGACATCCATGTACACAGCAGTCAAGTATGTCACAAAGAACAAAACTAGGTGAAGATTTGTGAATTTATTTTTTTATGAATGGATTTCATGAACTCTCAATCAATCTTTCTTGTTTGTTTTTTTGACAAATGGTAAACAAAAGTTCAAACTTACCTTGTACGGCGATCGCGGGGACATCTTTGCGATTTAAGCCAAGGTCATAATAAGAAGTCGCCACATGGTTACATCTCATATCATCTCCACCAACTACACAAACTAAAGCGCACGAAAGTAAAACTAAAATGTTTTTGAAAGTTACAGAATCCATTGCAGCCATTTTGAAACTTCACTTCAAACAAATGGCCTAAGTTATTTTTTGCTCTCAAGGATTAATCCAAGGGTTTTTCACTCCCAGAGGTTCACTGCTTGTAGTATGTATCCTCACTGTTCGGTGTGGTTATTTCATGGTTATCCTAGTTTAGTCATATTCGTCAAAATTACGGTCAAATAGTCCGCGAATGTACTCGCACTTCCAGTCCTCGATGAACTTTTAGCTGTTACTTCCACCTCCCCACAATTCCAAGAAGTTGTTGTTTTAATTTATTTGCACTGTTTTCATTCAGTCTTGTTTTATTTCGTTCAAAGACACTCGGCAGAATTATAATTAGTATATTTAAAAATGTGCTTGTTTGTTCTAGACATTATCTGTAACGCAAACATAGCAGATTAGTGATTGATGAAGTGGGAGGAGAAATAATAGCCAATTAACTTTATTGCCTCTATTTTAAAGAGCTCTTTCTCCTATCACCACTCTGTCAGGGTTTGAATTTTATTAGTAAACACAGAATATTCTGTTGTGTTGAAAGAATCAACTTTCCAATTAATAACTAACAACTTTTAGATATGTGAATATATAATATGAATCCTTTTATGAATGAATTGTTTTTGGGTAGATCTTAAATTTTAAATGTTTTACCTGAGAATCATTATAGAAACAGTATATTTATAAGAATTACTAAATCAATAGACCTTTCCAATAAATCCTGCCACCTTTTGGTGCATCGTTGAAGCTATATTGGCTCGGTTGTACTCTTTCTAAATTAGCAATATATGAAAGGCAGAATTAGATGTAGCAAGTATTTATCATTTGCTTCATCATGATCTTGACGAAAAGTGTTTCAATTTTAGAATATTTTCACTGGTGACCCACTCGATTAAGCTGGAACCGTTTAGGTAACAAAATGTCAGAACGTCGAAGGTAGGATTTTTCTTTTTTCGTTGTAGGCAGAATTCCCACGACATTTTTATCACAAACGTGTATCAGTCATGTTTAAGAAAATGTACATATTTGCGAACAAATAGTCCAGAAGACAACGGAATCGTTGATTTAATTCCTCACTTAAGTTACATAAACGGTATTTCGAAAAACAGTTAAGATCTGCACTTTTAACCCCTACCATTTATCGTACCTTTAAGTAATCTTAACTTAAAGGCCCACTATACTTAAATTTAGAAGAATAAAGAAAAAAATAATCATTGGAACATTGTTACTCACACACTCGCTCAAATATGACACAAAGATTTATTTGTTTTAATTTTTAGCCAAGAAAAAAATAACTCACAAAGAAAAAACCATTTGAAGGTTAAATAAAGTGCATAATTGCTCTTGTTTAAAAGATGGTGAAACTTCAATAAAAATGAATGTATCATGTAATACAAACAACTTCGCCATCTTTCAATGGCATTGATAAAAACTTGATATATAAAGCCTGACAGGTGAAATTATATTTTGATAACTTATTGTAAGCTTTGATGTGGTCTGTTTGAGCTGTTATTGGTGTCAAATGAAAGATAAGGTTCTTGTCAATATATTGGACATACTTTGAAATTTAAATGTAAGTCTTCATTTTGCCCAAAAATGTTGAAAATACGCAAATAAACAAATAAAGTTTCTGTTAATGACTGTGAATGTGAAGCAATCAGGTCTATCCTTTTTTTTCGCTCTAAATTTTTTTTTTTGTGTCTTCTAAATAAGGCACAATAAAAAATACAAGGCATTACCATGACAAAATGGCACCACCTAATGCATGCAACTAGAACTTATAGATGATTTTGAAAAAATGTGGCCAATTTGAAGCAAATATCCTAGATGCAAGTAGAAATAATCTTGAATTATGTCATTAAAAATTCAACATTCAGATAAACTGATGTCATATTTGGAATATACATGTAAAATTACATCTCGAAATGTGGTTTTGAAAAGAGTTTATAAACTTTTAGTTTATAAAATTTGATTTTCTTTGAAAATGTGACTTCTAGGTCGGGGAGATTCCCTATAGACCCCATGTTGTAGAATCACAAAAAGTGAAATATGTGTTTGGCAGATAATATTTTCTTTTACTGGACATATTTTTTATTGTACATAAGGGTAATATGAAGTGAACCAGTAAAACTGATGGATATTCAAGTTAAAGGGAATTTTGTAATACCCTGCCATGTTATTTCCCCCGAATCAGCCACCTGGTGGCGAAACTGCTAACTACCTACTCGCATCTGAGTAATTGACTAAAGACCTTTAAGTTGTTAAGTTATTGGAAGTTGTAAGAATTTGTTACAGATGCTGGATGCTACTTTGTATTTTTTGCATTCAATGATTAGTTTAGTCGAGTTTAGAAATATATAATGCCATAATAGTCAATAAAAGATATATATGCTCTGAAAATTATGTCCAACAATAGTCGCAATGTCATCTTTTTGCTACATTTCCCCCCAAATTTCCCCCACTTAATTTCAGACCCTGACATATAAGTATACATACACATGTAAATATATGTTTTGTTTGTTATACAAATATAAATTAAACACAACAAAACAATAATAATTGTTGTTCAATTTACACTTTATTTTGCAGTCGTACATAGACAGATAGAGTATATTATGTATGTGCGACGTGAGGCTTTAAGATACAAATACATTACGTAATATATATATGTATGACATTAGGCTTTAAGCAAGCTGTAATCTACATGTTTACAAGAAATTATAACATTTAATGATCAAACTATATGAAAAAAGAAAAATAATGTATTATTGATACAAATGTTGGTGTATATTGTTCTCTTCGGTCCCTTGTTTTTATAACATTTTGGCAATCCAAACACTGTTTTGAACTTCTTAAAACATGATAAAACCCTTGTAAAATCTATATTGAACCTCAACAACATTGCATAAAATACACATAGTGAATCTAGTATCCCAGGCATATGTGCTCTATTCATGAAGGACTTTGCCTCAAATTTCTTCACTGAATTATAATCAAGGCATGGAAAGCCAAAAGTTACGTACATTGACACATTGATATAGGGAGAAAAATTATTCTTAGGCTTATTAAGGGTCAAGGTCAATTGTTCTATGATTTCCCAATACAAAATCTATTACGTTCAGACCCCCCCTCCCCTCACCCTCAAATTTGTAACTGAATATTTTATTTTTTTTCAAATTCGAACCAACGTAGACTGACAAAATACATGTATACTGGCCACTTATCCACTCATAAACATAATCAATTACGTTTGGGGTGAACTGTGATATTTTGACCCTTTTCCTTAGCCCAGAAGAAAACTACACAGATATTAAACATATTTTCACTTAGTACCCCAGATATTTAGGGTGACTGTAATACTTCTATTGGCATACTGTACAAAGCAATACTGCATGAAAGATGTAAATGACAACTCCACAGGTGTATAACAGCAACCATCTTTCGCAAATTACAAACCAAAGAAACCTTCCCCATCTCTACCTTCGTTAACATGGCTTCGATCGATCAAAGTGAGGAACGAGCGTGTGAAGATGCCCCATATGAGCCAGCTTCATATCTTGATCGTAAACATATGTAAGCTTCTCATTTTGCCACAAGATGGCGCTATTAGTGTACCAGTTACGAGCTGTTAATACTTCATCGGAAATTCAGAAAGTTAACTCTACAAGGTAATTTTGACCAGGACAATGCACAGACCAACAATAAAGCTCAATTAATGGGTCCCCTCCTGTCAATTATATGGGCCTTTATCTTATTGACAATATATTCCTGGGTATGTGCATTACACTGACAAGCACAACAGTTGGTACCATACAAATGAAACCAATATGATCTTAGTCAGATTGGCTTTAATCACAAGTAATGGTTGAAGATAAATATATTAGGAGTTAGGGGGTTAATTCTAGTGGGAAGAGGGTTAATCGAAGTTGGTGCAATGAGGGTTAAATAGTGCCTAAGAGGGAAAAGCTATTAATAAATATTTTTCATACATATATCAGATTGACACATCTAGTTCTACTTATACATGAATTTGTACGAATGGAATATGTTATATAAATCACTATATAATTATGGACAATGTACATTGTATACATGTATAAATATTTCACAAAAATGGATTGTGAAATACCTAACTGTATGTCATTCTTTCACATCAATTGCCTAACTGTAATCATTGCTTCACAAGTTTCAGTTTTACTTCCAGAATTGGAAATTATACTGTACTCTTCTTCAGTAGACTTCAACAATTGTAACTTTCAAAACATTTTCAAATCACAACTTCTAAAAGGAGTAAAGATAACTGTACTTTTACACAAACATTGGAGCTATTGCACAATTTACTTTTGAAACGAAATTACACTTTATCATCTAAATTCGGTCAAATTTACTTGAATATAACATCTAACATGACTATTAAAAAAAAAAAAAATCACGGGTCATTAAAATGAGTGATAACTAAAACCTGGATTTTCCTAAAACTGGTAATTTTGATCAAACTTAAAATAAATCCTATTTCAGTACCACAACTGTTAAAATCTAGTAAATCAATAGCTAAAAAATTACAATATTTCCTTTATATTTTTGGTGTTGTTTTTCTCCATCAACTGCTTAGCATAGAGACACAATATATTTACAACTACAACACTCTGTACAATTATTCACAAATTCATACATCACCGACAGACGATATATCAAATAGGGCATGTATTATGTAGAGGCTTGTTGTTATAACATCAGAAAAGGGTAACCATTCTGTGAAATTTTAATCAAATAATGTGAGAAACTGTGTTTTTTGAATATTTCTAAAATCCATTGAGTTATGAGTTAATCCATTAAGTCATGAGTTAATCCATTTCAGCTTCTGATTAAATTTGAAAAAATGAGTGTTACTCACATGCCCAATAATGATTATAAAACTAGAATTACATTTTTCAAACTTGACCTTAATATGCCCTTATTAATATTTATCTGTAGGTAGCTCAAAGTGGAATTTTTCTATGAAAACTAAAAGAAAAAATGAATCTCAGGCGGAATAATGGCGCTCATGAATAGCCATTTTTAATTCTTAAGAAATTTGGAATTACAAGACATTTCCACTTTAAGCAATGTATTTACACAAATGGGGGTTATTCAATAACTAATTTCAAGTTCAGCTTTTATATTTCCTCCTTAATTTACTTAAATATTAAGTTACTGAACATCCTCAAATTGTGTCTTTTGTTGGAGTGTTCAAAAACTTTTATCACAGTACTGCATTAGTGTATAGGTAGATTAGTGATATTTTTGAACACTCCACAAACCAACTCACAAGTTAGACTAACATAAATGAAAGCAGGTCATATAGAAAATATCAAATCCTCAAAACATATTTCACAGATGTGTGCAAAAGGAATTGATGACTTCTACACATTCTAAAGTATTGCAAAATATCATCTGACGTTCAGGTAACCCTTGCAAAAATGGTCTAGTGTCAGATTTCACATTTTTGTAAGGATTATTAAACTGAAGTCACTTCATTGGATAAACTTACATGAATATATATAATATATATAATTGTATAATTAATATATAATAAAAATGTATATACAAGACATCCCAAACATCATTTGGCCTGCCATCTTTTATCATAGATGAAAACCAGTCTGGCTTTTTTCAAATTGCTTAAATCCCATTCCACATTTATTTTCAAGTTACAAAAAATAAACAGAAGCACCGAATGAATGATGACATAACCATTTGTTACTATAGTACTTAGACATAACATTATGTTGCTATGGTAACTATACATAGCTTGTGTTGCCATAGTAACTAAGACAAAATTGAACTATTGAACTAAACCTGTGATCAGTATTGTCAAACCGCATATGAGTATTTAACATGGAAAATATAAATGAAATAAAAATAAAATAAACAAAAATAGAATCTTAAAAGTAAATGAAACGGCAGCCAAATTGGTTTCCCTTCACTTTATCGTTGTGCCCATTTAAAGTTGAATATCAATATATACATAATAATATATTTCAGATTTCAGCATGATGCCGTACATGTTTGATTTCAGTCATTCTACATAAATATCAAGGGGGAACAAAAACTTCTTTTTAAATTCACGAAATCAAGACAAGTATAGATTAAAGTGTTTCAGTCCTTAAAACGTTCCTGTCATTGAACTAAAATAACAGCGAGAAATAGAGCAGGGGGTGGAGATCTTACCCCTACACCTATATTTTCAGACACACTTTAGTTACACCGATTTCAAATTGACAAACCTTTGCGTCATACTTCCCGACAAATTTGTCATTAGACACAATATATAAAAGAACCTGAATGGAATATATAGCCCCTCGACACAAATTCTCTCCAGCAAGTCGGACGTTTTCAAATAAGACTATATTTATCAGATTATGTAAATATTTTCCTTCGTTTATTATGTCATTTAGAACTGCACAATCTCAATCCATTTCTGTACAACAAACATCTTTCATTGTATGTACCTTGTACAATATACGTGTACCATTGTATATACAAGATACAATACCCATGTACCATTGTATATACCATATACAATATACATGTACCAGTGTATATACCATATACAATATACATGTACCATTGTATATACCATATACAATATACATGTACCATTGTATATACCATATACAATTTCCATGTACCATTGTATATACCATATACAATATACATGTACCATTGTATATACCATATACAATTTCCATGTACCATTGTATGTACCATTTTCATTCTTTACATGTATCTTTGATTGGGAGAAGTATCCTACTAATTGGATGCAAAACAATGAATCAAATAAAATCAAATAATCTAAATTGTTTAATATAATTTTGAACAAAATTATTTGTCAACAACATATATATCAGTTGAAAGCTGACATACTAATCAAATGTTAGGATACTTTCCCCGAACACATTATTCCTAGTTACTTGTCTAGTAACAGGTTCCCTAGTTACATGTATGATCTAGTTTCATGTTTCTGAGTTAAATACATGTCATAGTTACATGTCACCAAGCTACACATTTACCTTAGTTACATGTGTGTAAATGTACCAGATAATGTATCACTTAGTTACATGTATACCCTAGTTTCACATTGCTATAGTAACATGTATCCTCACCCTAATTACAAGCTTTCTTGTTTAGTTGAACTATGTCTCTCTGTACAGCCGTGTACTGTAAGCACACATTCGCACTACTAACTCGACTCTGTATTTCACATATGTATCCTCATTTGTCACACATCTCTGCTTGTGTGTCTATGCTGACACATAGTTCTGTTACATCTGTCCTTGTTTGACACACATTTCTATCACATGCGTCTTCTGTTTTTATGTAGTTAATCAGTTCTAACAACATGCAGTGCACCTTTGGTGTGTAATATATATTTTGACCATAATCCACTAGCATCAGCGCAGTAACTCATATCTTATCATTTATTATCCAGAGGAAATTTTAAATCCGGTAGAAACAAATCTTTGTACATCAACTTCTATCAAACTTTTATTTTGGATTTTTACTCCAGCTCTATATCTTTTCATCCTTCGCACATATCCATTAAGTTGCTTTAGTATTTGTTGCTTTGGTGACTATTGATGTCATGGCAACCAACATTATACACTTTATGATATATTTTTCCACTATTTTACATATATGGTATACATCCGATTTGTAAAGATACACTAACTCATGTGCTGTTGTGACCTTCTAGCTACATTAATAAGGTTGTTGCTAAGGTGATCATGGTTGCTATGGTGATGGAGAAAACACTGTGTATAGAAACGGATTGGGAAGGTTGTGTCGGCACAGGCTTCCTTGTAGGACGTCTGTTAATATCCTCTTCAAAAGAAATATCTGTATCTGAAAGAAAATGAAAAGCTCATTAAAAATAAGATACAATGAAGAGCATCGCATCTTCATAAATACTAATAACGTAGATGAAAGATAATAAATCATTTAAGGGTAGGCTTCTTAAACAATTTTATTGATTAATAATTTCACAAATTCTGATTGATTGAGTATTTTATTCCTTCATCCAAAAATAGAGGGCAGCACCAACATAACCATCTTTATTCCCAAAGCATGACACACCACATGCAATTTCTATAAAAAACAGAGTTCCTAAAGATAATTAGCGTTGTTAATTCTGTATAAATGCAAAGTTTGTCTAGAAAACCACAGGGAAAACTGAATGATGTCTCTCTCAGAATCTATACTCTACATTAGTCCTTCAGCGTAAAGAACTTATTCAAATATTTGCATTTAGAATACGACTCTGTCAAAAAATGTTCTGTTCTGTATCCAAAAATGCATTGAACAAAATCAATAATTATTACTAAAATTTGTTAAATTTAGATTGCTAATGTCATGCCTATTATCATTATTTCATGCTTTTTCGTCTCAATATTTTGTTTAAAAATGACCATCAATACCATCATGAAATTGATGGGTATAACTCTAAGGGATTTGTTATATGTCCTGAAAAGGACAATAATTTACGCTAGGAAAGATAATCAATAGGAATAGAGACAAAACAGTCTAGTTGAGCAAAGACACTCTCTGATTCAATTATAAACACAAAACTCCAAACATGATATGACAACATTTAAAACTCAAAATAGAGTGGAAAAGAGAGAAATCAGTGAGAAATAAAGTAAACAGACATGTAGCTAACACTCTAAATTGTATAGAAATGCAAGAAAATCAGGGAGTTCATTCAAATTTTAGAGAGAAATTGAGTGAAATATGCATGAGCAGACAGACATTTTGAACAGGGAGTAATGTCTAACAATCAGGGCAATACTCAAAGATTTTCACAAGAATTAAGATGAGCGCATCATGTTCAATAATTACAGCCAGTTAGTCACTACACATACAATGGTTAACAAAACCGGTGTTTTTAAACAAATAGATGTTGAGAAAACGGCGTTTGAAGATAATCTTTGGCTTGTTATTCTTTGTGGTGTATCAATTTAGTAAAAACACAAGCATGTGCTGCCTTTGTGGTCTTTTATGACTCAGACTCTAAATATGGGCCTTACACAGGGTGACACAGAAGTACAACCTCAGGCCCATAGCCAGGGGGGGAAGTTCTTTCAAAAGTATGCAGTTTTTCACCATTTTGAGCACTTTTCAAGTGATTTTAGCCATATTTGGGCCAAAATTGTCAAATGTGAACCCCCCCTGAAAATCTTTGAAAACTTATTTATTTATTATGCAGAGATTAAAAAAAATATAGAGATTAAATTAATGTCAGTTTTGATTGGCTATGAGTAAAATAAAATAATGTCTGACTGTAAGAAAGATCAGATCTGGGAGAGGGCAAAAACCAGCAATAGATAATGTTAGCTTTAAAAATGAACAGGTTATTTTGGCTCTAGTAAAACATGAGAAAGCAAGCGAGTTGTATGTCACTTTTTGTTGTGGTATGTGGGAGGGGAGGGATCAATCCTGAAAATGTTACAGTATGTTGCTTGTTTCTATTACTTAAGACTCTGATATTAACAGTTGAAGTAATAAAGCCATTTTAATATTCCATCTTGCTTTTTCACATAGTAAGGAGTCCTTACATTTACATTCTAGAAAAATATGATAATTACATTATTTCTTTTTTTTATAGTAGGTTATTGTTTTTAATATTGAAATTAACAATTATCACTGCCAGGGAGTCTCAAAACTAAAATGTTATTGAAACAGCATAGACAAAACAAAATGCCCACATAGAAATATGACATTCCGCATTAATATTTGCTAATTGAAAACAAACATCTAACTGATAAATTGATGGAAAAACTTTATTTTGGAGGTTTGCTAGACAGAAGGGATATTGCCTTGTCTTATTATTGTCAATCGTTCATAATTATGTTATCATACAATGATATATTATGTTTGATGAGTACGACTACCATCCCATATTTAATACTGATGAACAATTTCCAATTACGGGTCAACCTGCCCATAAAGGGCAGTTGCGGGATTTAAAGTACATTCTTAATTGGGAAATAAGGTTTTGATAAAATCGTAATGGAAAGTGCAATCACCAACGACTTAAAAATACGAACAAGTATTGTAGTGTAGTGTAGTGTAGTGTAGTTTTGTACAATATATTCATTTTGTAATGACTAATATGTCAGGTCATGACATCTAGAGTCAATAAAAGATATATATATATATTGTATAAGAATGTTTAAAGAATTGACAAGATTGTATCGATCATATCAATTTCAAATTTTGAAGAAATAAGTAAAAATGAAAATAATGTTACAATAACAATATGATACAATAAAATTATAATACAATAAAACACTTACTGGAGTCTTTGTTATGAATATTCTTGTTTCTGTTATGTTTGTTATGTTTCCTATCTGGCGTATATCTGACTCCCCCGTTTATGCCATCATTTATATTCCCGTCTCCGCTTCCGCTACCAGACTGAGCGCCAAATTCTTCATCATCTATGTACGTCTCATGATTTTTACCGCCGCGTCCACCATATTTGTAGCCACGATCGCCGCTGCCTTCATCATTGTCTTCATACTTATTTGACACCCATTGGTCACCCTGCATCTTCTCAACTGGGAGTTTCTTCGCCAAATTCTACAAACGAAATTGTACGAATTCAGGGTTTGATGCTAGACTATGACATCAATAGTGATGGAATATTATTGCTTCATTTTGGTTGATAATGCCAAGGGATAAATACAGGAGGAGAACAAAATACAGGTAGATAAGGAACAAGACACACCGTTATAAATATTGCACATTAAAGAGCAAAATGGCTGCCATGTAAATTACCCAGCATGCCCAAAACTTAACCAGATCTTGGAACTAGTCCGCTCTTTAATCCATAAAAGTTACAGATATCAAGCGGAATTCGATGATTTGATCATTTGTGGCACCCCCACCTTCCCACCCGGACGAGATGACGACAATGTGACATTTCTTAAAAGTGCGATAAAAATATACAGGTAGAAAAAAATCATACCTTTATGACATGTTCTAGTTTATCTCCAAGGTTCATAATAGCTGTATAACGTCCTTTAAACACTGGCATCTCGGGATTGTGGGTAAGTTGCGCCTCCATTGTATACTCTGTAACATTCTTGTGGTACCTGGAAATACAAAGAAGGTAAAGGGTTATTACAGATAATTATTATAGATAAGTTGAAATATAGAATAATATAGAACAAGTTGTACAGTACATCAGTAAAAATATACAGGGTGCCCATGAAATCTCTTAACAATTACAATACAAAGTCTGTCTAAAGTGTAGAGATACTTAATGTACACCCTGTATATCTTCCAGAGAAAGAATTATGAGTTATGCAATCATGCATGGAAAGAAATACAGGGTGTCCATAAAATCTCTTTACAATAACAATACAAAGTCTGTTTAAAGTGTGAAGAAACTTTATGGTCACCCTGTATTGTAATTGCTCAGCTTACACAAGCTTATGAGACCCCTAGTATATAAAAAATAAATCCTAGCTTTGTGAACAATTCTCCCAAGTGAACACCTGTGTCTAATGAACACCCCTTCAATCTCAACACAATACTCTGACAAATTCTGTAGACAATTGGCTCTCTGTAGTGGACACCTATCTACAGTGAACACATTTTAATGGCTCAATAGGTGTTCACGATACAGGGCTTTACTGTATATGTATAGATTAGTATAGGAAATACAAAGAAATAACACAATAAATAAAAGGTATTTCTAAAACATTTTTTTCTGCATTCCTAGACAGCTATAACCAAACACTGTTTTAGACAGATTTAAGACACTTTTTGACAGCCTTTCATTTTTTTCAGACAGGCTATCCATGAATTGAGTTTTTTTGCCTGAGATCTTCAAGATTGACTCCTGACATATAAAACCTTTTACGAAATGAAGAGTAAACCATGAGAGTTGTAACGAATATCCTCTAAATGCAGTTCTGTGTTTCTTGTCAATCTTCGATGCTTTTGTTAAACATTGTATCCCAGAATGTCAATGAACACCAATGAAGGGTGATTTCCCCAGCATTAAAGCAGGTAGGTGCTTCACCCGATTGCACCCACTTCACCCACTTGCCAACAAAAATTTTGTTGAAATCGGCATTTTTTACCTACCTTGATCTGAATCATGAAAATGTAACTTTTGCAATTTTCATTTAATTAGCAAATCAAACAAATTCATGGGATTATATTTCTAGGATTTGCCTTTGATGTTATATTAGGATACAAGATACACTCTGATAATGGAAATAATCTCTTATGTGGCTTCTGTTAGGAATGTCGCAATGGTCATATTTTAAATGGAAAACGGAGTGGAAATGAGTGGAATTAACAAGAAATAAAGTAAAAAGATATGTAGTCAATACTTTAAATTGTATAGAACCATGATATTCCCCAAGGGTTCCTTTAAACTGATGCGTTTAGTGGTTGTCTGGTACGAAGAAATTGATCCTTTAAGATTATGCGTTTAGTGGTTGTCTCATACAGAGAATATGATCCTTTAAAGTGATGATCTCTCAAATATCCTAAAAAAATCTGATGCCTTTAAGCAGGAGGTAATGATCAACAAAAAATGTTTTTTCAAGCTTGAAATACTTACTGAGTGATAGCACTGGATTGTTATGTACTAATTAGACGAATTACCTTCCATGGATTCTCGGAGGTCATATTTTAAATTGCAAAATAAAGTGGAAAATAGTGGAATCAGCAAGGAATAAAATCAACAGACATGAAGTCAACACTCTAAATTGTATATGTCAAGATGTCATGTTTTGAAATGGGTTATGTTTTGAAATGCAAAATAGAGTGAAAAAGAGTGGAATTAGCAAGGAATAAAGTATAAAGGCATGTAGCTAACACACTAAATTGTATAGAAAAGCAAGAAAATCGGATACTTCATTCAAATTTTAGAGAGGAATGACATGAAATAAGCATGAGCAGATGGACATCCAAATATACGGATAAAGTATGTTATGTACTTGAAATTATAAAGAAGGCAACTCAGAGGGAGTTGATTATGACAAAATGCACAGCGATCCAACATAATTTCTACCAAATAGTTTATTATTCATCCTCCTCACAACATTTACGAGATCTATAACCCCCAGGCTTAAGATTTTTCCGAAGGCTGAAAGAATGAAAATACCAAAACAAGAGAATTCATTAAAATCTGCACCAGGGCGGTTGAGGATGTTTACACCATACAAGATACAAAGATAGATAAAAAGAACTTAGTACATCTAATGGGGAAACATCACATGATTCAGAAGTGTGAAAATGTTCTTTTTAAAGGGCCATATTTACAGTACGGTTGATTCCCAATAGTACAACTGCGAAGATAACAAGACAAAAGCATTACAAAATGTCCCCACCACTTTGAAAGTGTAACCATTTGTTTTAGATACTGAATGCCAACACCAAATACCAAAGAATGGTGACAAAAATGACTGTTTAGGCTTCAATATTTTTCCTGTTTGTATAACAAAAAACATTCAAGGCATTAACATGGAAAATGTCACCACCTGCAAGTGTTACAGACATGGACCAACACCATCCACAAAGAAGATGCAGAGAGTGTAACAATATATCACCACTTCTTACATAAGGTACATTCGATTCAATCTATTCCTGCATTATATCAAATGACTTCTGACAGGAGTTTTATCATGAAAGTACCTTGAATAACACAGTGTGATAGCTTGGTAAGTAAATAGGCAGTTCAAGCTATTGGGTAAAAAACTGCAGACTGGATCGATATGGCATAGTAGAATTTGAAAATACGTAAGAGTAGAAACTAAAACAAAAATCAAAAAATAAACCAAATAGGCATGTAGTCAATACTCTAAATGGTATAGAAATGCAAGAAAATCAGATACTTCATTCAAATTTTAGAGAGAAATTGAGTGAAATAAGCATGAGCAGACGGACGTTTTTAGGATGGGTCGTAGACTTGATCAATATGTATGTAATTGTATGTGTCACTTCTAGCACAGCTTCCATTTAATAAGGTTTGGTTTGTTAATATAGCTAACACTGATTGTAATCTACGCTTCAGTCTTAAAGAAATTGGGAAGCTGTCATTATAGGTTCTTTTTTTATACTTAAACGGTTGACTAGTTGACTCCTTAGTTCTTGAGGCTGCATGTACTGAACAATATGATTTGCAGTGGTAAAGCATATTTATCATGATAACTATGTAAGTCTGATTTATGGTGCTATGGTAACAAAGTTGGGTTGTGCTATGGCAACCACTGCGTGCAGTGGTATGATAGCCACTTTAGGTGGTATTATGGTAGCCACACTTTGCGGTGGAAACTATGATCTGCCGTGCCGTTTCTGTGACTGTAAACTGTAAGAAAAAACGTTTTCCCATTCAGGTGGAAACTAGAACATATTTTCATATTCCTATTCCCAATAAACTATTTGTTATGTAACTAAATACTAACTCTCATCACCTTGGGAACATATTTATAACTGGGGAATGTTCAGAAAAATTGGCATATTATCATATCCCAATTCCCAGTCTGATATTATACTTGTAATTAAACACTAAATTCCATCACCATGGGAACACATGTGTAACTGGGAAAACATAACTTATTTTTCACGTTTACTCAAAACATTTAACTTTATATTTGGTTTATAAACAAACTTAAAGATAATGAAAATACTATTAGCTCCAGGAGCATATGTTACTTTAGTATGAGCAAATGTCTATCTGCGATTACTTATTTTGTGCTATTTCTTTAAAAAAATTAATAAACAGCAAGTTTTTTGGCATTTTTATATAATTCAGAGTGTTGATCACATGCCTGTTTAATTTATTCCTTGCTAATTCCTCTCTTTTTCACTCTATTTTGTGTTTTAAATATGACAATGATGATGTTTTTCTATATAATCAAATGTAATTTTTTTCTTTAACAGATATAATGGTCTTATCTGGCCAAATTTACCTGTAATATACGATATTTCCAAAATGAAAACTATCAAGACGGTCATGTTTTGAAATCCAAAATTGAGTGAAAAAGAGTGGAATAAGCAAGGATTTAAATACACAGGCATGGAGTTAACACACTAAATTATGTAAAAATGCAAGAAAACTAGATACTTCATTCAAATTTTAGGGAGAAATAGAGTGAAATAGGCATGAACAGATTCAGAAGAGTTTAAATTATTTCTTGATAGGAAGCATCCTACAGAAATTGATAACTGATGAAATAAGAAATTATTTAGATTGAGAGGAAATAAAAACTAAATTGATATCTATATTCAGAGGAAATAAAAAACAATTTGATGCCAATCTCAATCCCAGATTAACGATCCAATCACAACTGTACTAAAACCTTCCTAGACGATCTGATGAGTTAAAATCTAAAAATAATTAGAATCAATTAGAGTAGAAACAGTCATGAATAATGAAAAAGTAAACAAACATATTCTAATCTTCTAAATACTGAAATGTAATTAAACACAGATAGTTCATTTAAATTTGAAGTGGAAATAAAATGACCAGAGAAATTTCACAACCTTCTGTCTTTTCCAATTTCATTTACAACCTTCCGTCCTTTCTAATTTCATTAACAACCTTCTGTCCTTTCTAATTTGATTTACAGTAGTTCACTGAAAACCACTTATATTGAAGAATATTTGACATTTTAATATTCTATCCATTTTCAGAGTCCCTGGATGTTATAATGTCAATGCCAATGAGAACGTGTACAATTACTGGATAATCATTGGTACACGACACGTAACAATATAAATGGGCTTTCTTAACCTCTTGAATCCCAGGCTCTAATATTGGTTGAAACCAGAGAATTTTTCATTTTTGCCACCTTTTGACATTTTACTACATACCTTTACAATTTTAGATGCTCAACTTAGTGAAATTAGATGACAGAGATCATTTCTACACGTTTTAAAACAATTTTTGTGTAAATTGGATGAAAATTTTTCAAATAAGAGCAATTTTTGAGAAAAATTTTGTGACAGATTTTCTCGTCCCTCTGGGTTTCAAGGTCATTTCTGAGGTGACGAGAAATCTCATTATTCTGGGGAGTCAAGAGGTTAATGACAGAGAAAGGGAACGAGGAGGACATGAAATGTGATGAGAAAT